GCCCCTCCCTCCTTCACAGAGCTAACGTCGTGCCACTGACGATATTCCACTACTGATGGGACCTGGCAGCCTCGAGGCCACACAAAGAAACCCTGAAAAGAAATGAAATTAGTCACTGTCTCAAGTTACCTGTTCCACTGATGGATAAGAACCTGCAAAAGGCAGAATCGATTTACGTGGCATTTTGCAAAAGAAAAAAAAAAGAGAGAGAGAGCCATAAAGGGACCTCAGATTGTGAGAATAGCTTTTAATTTTAAAACAATTGAAGCAATAAATCATCCATCTCTCTTTCCATCACAGGCAAATAGTCTCCCAAAACATTTGAGATATTTTAAACTACAACTGTGATTAGTGCAAAATAAACACAAACTCTTTCAGGCGCCAACATCAAAACCTGCCAAGCAGACAGGCGCGGGCCACAGGATCAGCCTCAGCTGAGGCCAGGAGGAGCAGCCAGATTTGCATGGTATTTCAACACACCCAGCTCTGAACAGACAAAACAATACCGGGGGAGGAGAAACCACAAGAGAATGTTGCCCAAAGTGAAACAAATCTGCCCAACACCCTCATTTGGCTAACATCCTTGGCACCTGGAAGATGCTTGAAAAATAAATGCAGAGTTGGCAGCTTCTAGACAAAGCTGAAGAAACAGGGTTTGGGCTCATTTGCTTTTGGTTTTTAATTGGGGTCTTATATATATATTGATTCTTATGCAGAAAAATCTGCTTTCTGGAAGGCATTCTGTGCCTCACATTGCTCCCGACTCCAAAAAAAATGTTTGTGCTGCTTCTGTCTGTCTGGATGCTTCGCAGAATCCCCTTCCATACCTACGGCACCTCGCTGCCTCCTCACGTCACCTGGTCTGGAGAGCGCTGTCCAACAGGAGTACAACTCGTGTCTAATTTCAATTTGTTTGGTAGCCACATTAAAAAAAGATCAAAAGGAATAAGTGAAACTTTAATATCATCTTACTTGATGTATCTAAAATATGGTCATCTTAGCATATAATCAATATAAAATATTGATGCAATATTTTACATTCCCTTTTATTGGTACCAAGCCTTCCAAATCTGGCGTGCATTTCCTGTGTATAGCACAACCTCAATGTGCACAAGCCACATTTCCGGAGGTCATTAGCCACATGTGGCCATGGACAACTGTACTGAACAGCACAGATCTACAGAATTATGACACAAACTCTTTCAGGATGATTTACTGAGTAGGGAATCTCCATGGCATTGTGTGGGCGATCTTATACATCAACTTAAGGGTACAGAATCTTGTTCTGTAACCTAGGATTTTTGACCTTAGGTGAAGGATAGAATCACATTTTATCTAATCCTATCCCCCTATCCTGCCCCCAACACTGGCCATCTCCCCACTGACGGCCCACACAGATGATGTCATTTAGCAACAGTGATGCCTACCAGATGAAAAGACATCCTTTCTGTGGTAGAAAAACTTATTTGAGGATCATAGCTATAACTCAACTAGAGTAAGATAATACTCCAGAAAGGTTACAGAGTTAGCGGAAGGTAGTTCTGAGGTTTGTCAGGGCAGGAGGTGTTTTAAATAGATTTTTCATTTTTGAGGAAGATGGTAACAAAGTACCTTACCGACTGGGAAGTGGAGACTTTCAGGAGTGGGAGAAAAAAATGGGATAATCACCAAAGAAAGTAATTCCCCAAGAAATTGGGACTAGAAGTTGGGGTGGCAAACACTAAAAACGAGGCAGGTTCTAAAGTGGGGTGCGAGAGCTGTAACAAACCCGAACCATAACATCGAACCTCTGTGATCCCTCGTGTCTTACATGTCTGACCAAGGTAGTAACTGCAGGAAAATAAAAATAGAACCGAATGCTAGAGCAGAAAGGGACTTCTGAGCTTATCTGGTCTAACCCACTCATTTTAAGGAAAAAGGCCTAGAGAGGTAAAGCGACTCGGCCCCACCCCACTTAGAAGTGGGGTCGGGCTACAAACGCAGGTGCTCTCACTATGAACTGCAGGTAAGGCTCCATCCAGTTCAGGTCAAGGGAAAAAACAATGTTGGGAGTAGCAGGCTCAAGCTACGTCCTACAGCCCACGGTGAACATGGGGCAATGGCAAGCACATTCTCTTGTAGGTGGGAGAAAACAGCAAGTCAATTCAGAACATTAAAGCAATGTTGACATAAAATGGCATTAAAACATGACTCTTCTTTAATAGTCCTTCCTCCATACTTTTTCTCCCCTTGAAAAAAAATCCCAATCTGAACCAAACTGGATTTCTGATTAGTTGTGTGGGCATTTAGATCAACTGACAAAACAAAAACTTTGATACGCTGTATTTTCCAAAGACACATTCATCAGGATTTTGCACAAATGGATATCGAAAGATATTTACAGGAAGATAGTGCTCTCTTCCACACATACACCCACGCAGTGAGAATTTTCACAATTACACCACCACACCTCACACAGAAGATGCCTAACAGGCTGATGATCAGTTGACAAAATACACACATTATGCCAGTTTTTAGTCATAAATAATCTCATCGACATACATGTGTAAAATTAAGCAGTATATTCCACACTTTGATTCCAGGGAAGCCTGCCTTGAATATATTAAGATATACATACAGATACATTTATAAGCATGAAAGAAAACCAATATTTGTTCCAGTTTTCCCAACTCTCAATCTGAAATAAAGAATAGCACATATACAAAACTTTGCCTTGTAGAAATAGCCCTTTGTCTTGGTGAGGTGAAAAAAAAGGCAGCCATATTCCACTTTCTTACGATAGGTTTAGGTATCAAAAGGGCCAAATTTCTTTTTCTGCTTAATGAATTAAGTAATGTGGAGCCTGTAATCTTATATACTGACTTTACACCATTCACTTTGCAAAATTTTATTATAAAATTTTTTAATGTGCTCAAAATACACATGCCAACTTTGTCCACATTTCAATCCAAAGCCCCAATCCCCCTCCCACGCCCAGAAAAGGCCTTCCCTTTGTAACAGCTGTGAAAAGAAGTCACTTTTGATGTGTGTTTGCAGTCACTATTCTATGGTACGCAGGCCCAAGGAAACGGGACTCCGTAAGGCTGCTTAGCATGGGTGTTTCTGCAGGAATCAGGGACTCGTGTCACCGAGCGGGGCTGCTTTGGGGTGTCCAGGACAATGTGAAAAGGTGACACCAGTGGGCAGAGTTTAGTAGAGATTCACTGCCCCATGAGCTCCCTCCTTCTGCCAATCTCATTTGTTCCCGAACTGAAGAAAACGTCAGAGGAGAAAAGAGAGGAAGCACGCTCTACTAGGGCCCACCCACTGGGCACACCACCCGCTGCTCTTCAAAGGGTCAGCGTATCAGATCTCTCCAGATCCCCAAAGCACAGTTGGAAAGAGAGGGCAGAGGGTCATCACACCACTGTGCACATAAGCTACGGGCCGCACCCAGGTCCACGGGCCACAGGCCTCGGGCTCTGCATCCCTTGCTCACATCTCCTGTGAGAAGGGCCCCAATCACAACCAGAACCCTGATTGTTCATAACTCACATGTCATAATCCAACTTCCGGACTTCACAGAATTGTGGAATTCTGTGCTGTATTTCACCCAGTTGGTTCTACTTTATTTTCCTACAGTCTCCAGGAAGATCCTTTCTACCACTCAAATGCATATTAAGCAGACAGCAATAAGTCCTTTTTTATTTGACTGAATAATCTGAAATAGAAATTCCAGAGACCCTAGCATTTGGTACAGAGCAGTAGGAAAATTACAGAGCACTATCGTTCCACTTTTTCATCACATCTGAAACTCTGATTTAATCCCAGGTTGCAACTAAAATGCTGAAACACCGAAACGGAAACTATGGTCTTTCATAATGTCATATAAAGTTCCTTTGCATCTGAAACCCTTAAACTGCTGAAGATCACACTGTTGGCTGGTCACAGCAGATAAGCAGTGAAGGTAAGTCAGGAGATGATTAGCCAACAAAGGGCAGAGATGAGACTCTGGCCCCAGAACACATAGAAATGAAGACAAGCAAAGAGCTGGGGGATGAGAAAATTACAGACAAATTTGGGGCACTTAACATGATTCCAGGGAGTTGTCATGTGTCATGGTAAGAAGAGATCAGCTATTTTAACTAACAGTACACACGACTATGCCTTGGGGGAAGGGTTGCTGAGAAACAGAATTCATCTACCTTTGACGAAGACCACCACTGTGCTGCTGGGGGCATCTGCGTTCATACGACCAAACGTCACAAACCCAACTGAATTCTGGACAGCACTGAAAGGGACATGTTGTCCCTTTTTACAGCCCTTTTTACGCCTGAAAATCTAAGCGGGGAACTAATTTTTTAAACTGTTCCTGAGTTAGAGTTTCTTTAAAATGTTGACTTGCTTTTTCCAGCTATGCTTACTACCAACTATTTTAACCTTTAAAAACCAACCCGTCACAGATTTTCTAGTTGACTATAAAGGTCTCACACTCTCAGTCGCATTCTCACACACATTCACACACTCGTATTATGAATTTTGATATGATTAAATTAAAAATATCTTTCATTGTAGATGTTCTAATCTACTCTACATGGAGAGGTCAGAAATCATTGTGTGTCATGAAAAAACTTATGTCACAAATAAAGCCCAGCCCAGTTACTGATTTTCGATATGAAACGAAAGTGGGCTTTTTGTTTATGGTGGGTAGGCGACACGACTGGCCCCATTACTTGGTTCCTCTGGAGGCCACTATCACCGACCCCCAAAGCAAAACAGAGGATTGGCGGCACTTCCTGCTTTTGATGTGCCAGTGGCAGATCCCCCACCAGCAACAGGAATACTTTTTTTTTTTTTTAACCATCCTCTTCTTAAACATTTATAAAAAGAAAAATTATCTACAGTAGTGTATCATCACTAATAGAAATTCCCTCCCAGTTCTACTTCAGAAGGCGTCAAATGATGTTCTTTAAATAAACTATAAATACCCCATGTATTCCCTCATGTCTGGCTGTCCCAACTTTTTTTTTTTTTTTTTTTGGCAAATTAAAAAGGTGTATGGCTTCTTCTCGCCAATTTGTACGTCTGAGGTTTAGCTTGGTATCCTGCGGTAAAAATACATGTAGCCCAGGTCTTTAGGGGGCCTTTCTGAGGCACAAACTTTGTGGTCATTGTAGATCACCCATCTGAAAACAAAAGACAGAAGCATTTGATGGATTTAAGTCAGTTCCAGGAAACTTTGCAGGAGAAAGTTACTGCACCATACTTAAAATAATCAAGATGGTTTAAGATAAACCAAACTCAAGTCTGTTGTATAAAGAAACAGAATGCTGGTGGGAAATTACAACTGCTTTTTTATTCTCAAGTTCAAAAAGTAGTTCCTAAGGAGCCTCCAAACATTTCCACTTGTAGAAATCCATAGATGGCCTCAGAACTTCAGTCAAAGTATGTGTTTTTTTCAGCCTTAGGTATAAAACTACTAAAAATCAGAAGTAAATAGACATGCAGTGAACTATCATACAACTATTAAAATGTCTTTGAAGAGTATCTGGTAAAGTAAGAAAATAATCACAGTATAATATGAAGTGGGAGAAAGCAGGTTACAAAATTGTACTTACTGTGTACAAACTTTAAGCTTTTAGAAAAGTAAATACAGACATACACATACCCTTTCTTCCAGTGAAAACAATGAAACAAAGGGAAATGTATCAAAATACAGACAATGGTTCTCTCTAGGCTTCCAAACAACACATTCTCTGTATGTTTTTGTATTTTACAAATTCCTTATAATGAATTTCATGGCTTTTTAAATTATAATTAAGCTATTTTTCTTAAGAAAAGTATTTTTAAAAGATCTATCATGCTTGATAATAAAAAGGATTCACTATAAATCAAGTTCCTGTGCTCGACTATTTTATTAATCAAGTTGAGAAGACGAGACTAAAAGACACACCAGAAAGGAACACAGTGGATTCCTGACTGGGAACCAGTCACTCCTGCAGTACGAGGTCAACGTCCTACCAGGAGAGGGCAAGGTTATGTGTTTCTCCAGTGTCCATGTGGCCCAAGCACTGCCTCAAGCAGGGGTGCTGACCCACAGGCCAGGCCACGCCACTCAGTGGGAACTTAAGGAAGGGAAACCAGTGGGGCCCGTGGGGATCCAGCCCCGGAAGAAGGTTCTAAAGAGAGCAGCGGCCTTACACCCCACAACTGTCTAACAATTCTTAAGAAGCCAAGACTAAGGGCAAACACTGGGTGTTGGAGTTACCAGATAAAACACAGGATACCCAGTCAAGTTTGAATCTCACATAAGCAATAAGTACTTTTTTAATACAAGTATGTCCCATGCAACAGCTGAGACATATTTATGCTAAAAAGTTATTCATTATCTGAAATTCAAACATAATAGGGCATCCTGGTTTTCTTGTTTTGTTTCGTTTTGTTGGCTAAACCTGGCAACCCTGGGGAGGTTCCAAATATGGACACACATTCTGCTGCGGGATGCGTCTTTACTTTGGGAGGTCCCCTTGCTATGACAGTGAAGAGTGACTCTGAATACTAGCTCTGACACAGCTGCAAACGTCAAGCTATTTAGCCTGTCTGAGCCTTAGTGCCCTGATGTGTAAAATGGCTTTAAGAGTCTATCCCTACAAGACCATTATGAAAACCAAATGAGATAACATATGAAACACCTAGTGGAGTGCCTGGTACATAGCAGGTCCTCAATAAAACATAGATATTATTTTACCTTCTCAAAAAGACTCACCTTCCTTCCTTTTTGATGTGACAAACGTAGTGTCCACTCATTGTAGATGTCCCCATGTGACTGATGAACGCAAATAATTCATACACTATGAAAGAGGAAACAACTCAGTTACAAGGCAGCATTTCTAGAAATCAACAGCACTTCTGACCAGAATTTAAAGCCAACGAGAGTGTAATCCAGCAACTGTTCAGAATGAAAGACAGTCTATTTACTTACTACGTTGAGAACACACCCACCTACCCAAAGTGACAGCAACTTCAACCTGCAAATTCATAACAAAGCAGGACATGAACTTTTTACAGCTGACCTTAAGCTCCTATCTGAAAGGGGATTAAAAGTCCCACAGCCCAGTCTGGTGGCAAACTCATGGGTCTAAAAGGGTAGTCCCGGCTCCATCACTTCCAAGTGGCATGAGGGTGGAGTTGTTTCATCTCTTGGAGCCCATTTCTTCACAGAAATGAAAAATCCACCCACTTCACAAGGTTGCATGAGGCTTAAATGAGCAATTCAGACTAAAATACCACACAAATGTCAGGATTAGGAGGAAGACAGCAGATAGGTGTTATCATTTATATAAAGGGATAATGCTCAGAATATGCGTCTTGTGATTTCTGAATGGCTCATGATTATAACCTCTATGGGATCAAAATTCAGGCTTCATGCCTTCTGAACAGGGAGATATATAGCCTCTTGGAGCTTAAGATGGATGTTTATTCTCTAACAAGTATCTCCTGTCATCTTGCAAAGCATATGCTGTACCAAATCCACAGTGAATGAATTTCAGCTCATTCCCCCACCCACCGCCCCCCAGCCAATCCTAGGCCTGCACAACACCTGCAAAGTGGCTTCCACAGACTGGCACCAGTGCAATTCCACAAACTGCTATAGACTACGACGAGACAGGTACAGAAACTGAGTTAGCGTTTACAGACTCTTATAATAATTTGAGAGGAATATTCATGTCTGTTGAATCTAATTAAGGAAAATAATGCGCTTGCATATTCATTGTTTTTGGTACTCAAGTTTTATTGTATTTTACAAGTGTACTGGTTCTGGACAGACCCTTTTCCTCGCTCCTCCCTCTCTCATTCTCTCTCTCTCTTGCCGTTCACGGATGCTCATCCACATATTCAGCTGTGAATCCCCAGTCCTCATCTTAGCCTTCAGCGCATCACATACTATGGACCACCTGTCCTCCTTCCCCAAACATCTGCCCCCAGGACATGACTGTCTTTTATGTTTTCCAGGTGCCTCACTGGCTTCTCCTCTTCTCCTGACTTTTAAACACTGGTGACCTGGGGCTCTGACCTCAAGCCTTTCTTCCCTCTATCTTCTCTCTCTATCTTCTACCTTCTCTCTCTCTTCTCTGTCTCTGTCTCTCTCTGTCTCACTCACACACACACACACACACACACACACACACCCTGTACATTCTCATCCTCTCTCTCTCTGCCACCTCCCCTACCCCTTCCCTCTCTGGTTGATCTCATCCAGTCTCATGACATTAAATGGAATTATGTTCTTAATTTCATTTCCAGAATGTTCACTGCTAATGTACAGAACTACAATTGAATTTTGTATATTGGTCTTGTTTCCTGCAACCTTTCTGAATCCATTTATTAGTTCTAATAGTTTTTAAAGTAGATTCCTTAGGATTTTCTATATACAAGACCATGTCATCTGCAAACAGAATTAGTTTTACTTCTTCCTTATCTGGATGTCTTTTATTTCTTTTTCTTGCTTAACTGCCATGGCTAGAACCTCTTTCACAATGTTAAATAGACGTGGCAAGAGTGGACATCCTTGTCTTGTTCCTGCTCTTAGGGGAAAAGCATTCAGTCTTCACCATGAAGCATGACGTGAGCTGTGGTTTTTTGGTAGGTACCACTTATTAGGTTGAGGACGTTCCCTTTCATTCCCAGTTTGTTGAGCCTTCTCTCCTCAGCTTTATCCATCTCAATTCTCCCAGTAACTCAGGACAAAATCTGGACTCCTCTCTCCCACTGTTTACACACATCCAATCCATCAGCAAATCCTTCAAAAATATATCCAGCGTTTCCTTCAAAATATATGCAGAATCCAACGACTTCCTACCACCTCCACTAGTAAGCCCCAATCCAAGTTACCATCATCTCTTGTCTGAATTATTACAATAGCCTCCCCTCCTAACGGAGCTCCCTGCTTCCTCCCTTACCCCTACCGACCACTCTCAGTATGGCTGCAAATCTCACTCTAACGATGACCTATGAGGTCCCCCCACCTCCTTCCACTCTGCCCCTCCACTCCAGCTCCTCCGGCCTCCTGGGTTCTCCTCAAACACACCGGCTACTCCTCTCACTGACAGAGAGGGCTTCAAGCCCCACACCTACGGTCCCTCTATCTGAAACTCTTCTTTCAGATGCCACATGATCCAGTCCTCACTTCATCGAGGTCTCAGATCAAATGTCATCTCAGAGAGGCCTTCCTTATAAATAGCAACTCCTCCCTCCTTCCACCCCACCCTCACCCCAACCTTGTTTTACTGTTGTCCATGGAGCTCAAAATAACACCATATCACATACTCATTTGTGTATTTACTTACTATTTCCTTTTATCCCAGGCTAGAACATAGCTCCATAAGGATGAGAAGTTTGTTTGGGATTTTTTTTTTTTTTTTAGTTTTATAAACTCACCAAATATATATATATTTAATTTCATTTGTCTGTTGTGTTTACTGGAATATTCCAGACACAGAGAACAGTGCTCAGCATGCAGTAGGCATGGCTCCCTTCACCCCATGTCCTCACTTGTTTTTCTATCTTTTCATATTGTATATATTTTTATAAACCCCCTACCAAAGTATAAACTGGGGTATAAATTAGTGAAATAATTATTTTAAAAAGAAATGAATCAGAGGGGATTGCCTTTCCCATCCTTAACTAAGTTTTTGTCACTAGCTATCACATCAGCTGACAACCCCCCCAACACACACACCAAAAAAAAAAAAAAAAAAAACCACAGGTTTTTTGTTGAGCCTTCTCTCCTCAGCTTTATCCATCTCAATTCTCCCAGTAACTCAGGACAAAATCTGGACTCCTCTCTCCCACTGTTTACACACATCCAATCCATCAGCAAATCCTTCAAAAATATATCCAGCGTTTCCTTCAAAATATATGCAGAATCCAACGACTTCCTACCACCTCCACTAGTAAGCCCCAATCCAAGTTACCATCATCTCTTGTCTGAATTATTACAATAGCCTCCCCTCCTAACGGAGCTCCCTGCTTCCTCCCTTACCCCTACCGACCACTCTCAGTATGGCTGCAAATCTCACTCTAACGATGACCTATGAGGTCCCCCCACCTCCTTCCACTCTGCCCCTCCACTCCAGCTCCTCCGGCCTCCTGGGTTCTCCTCAAACACACCGGCTACTCCTCTCACTGACAGAGAGGGCTTCAAGCCCCACACCTACGGTCCCTCTATCTGAAACTCTTCTTTCAGATGCCACATGATCCAGTCCTCACTTCATCGAGGTCTCAGATCAAATGTCATCTCAGAGAGGCCTTCCTTATAAATAGCAACTCCTCCCTCCTTCCACCCCACCCTCACCCCAACCTTGTTTTACTGTTGTCCATGGAGCTCAAAATAACACCATATCACATACTCATTTGTGTATTTACTTACTATTTCCTTTTATCCCAGGCTAGAACATAGCTCCATAAGGATGAGAAGTTTGTTTGGGATTTTTTTTTTTTTTTTAGTTTTATAAACTCACCAAATATATATATATTTAATTTCATTTGTCTGTTGTGTTTACTGGAATATTCCAGACACAGAGAACAGTGCTCAGCATGCAGTAGGCATGGCTCCCTTCACCCCATGTCCTCACTTGTTTTTCTATCTTTTCATATTGTATATATTTTTATAAACCCCCTACCAAAGTATAAACTGGGGTATAAATTAGTGAAATAATTATTTTAAAAAGAAATGAATCAGAGGGGATTGCCTTTCCCATCCTTAACTAAGTTTTTGTCACTAGCTATCACATCAGCTGACAACCCCCCCAACACACACACCAAAAAAAAAAAAAAAAAAAATCACAGGTTTGAAACAGAAACCAGGCAAAAACAGTTGTGAATGACAATCATTTTGCCTGGCACTTAGTGATCGAGGGACCCTACCCTTGTCGGCCCTCCCCAGTGTTCCCCATCACTAAGAACCTATCCCCACCCTAGTAAACAAGAGAGAGTGTAGGCTGAGACTTTTTCATGTTCCTAGACCCTGGTTGGTTTTTAAAGCTCTTTAGGAATAATTTTATATCAAATTCCAAATCTTCTATTTGAGAGATACGGGGCTGGTCTCCCACAAGGTGGCTGCCCTCTTAGAATTTTCATGAAATGAAGAGAGTATGTGATCCTCCAACGAAGGCTTTTCCCTCACAAGAAACTGTCCCCCAAAACAATGCCTTAAATAACTGAACAGAGTATTTAATGAGCACTTCTCACCATAAGCCAGGGTCATTTCAGTGAAACACTGCTCAGACACCAATAAGCCAACATGTTAACAGAATAGACAGACATAGAGAAAAGAACAAATCCATACACTCCAACACACCCAAACATGTCATTAAGCCCCCAAAGGCATTTTCCCCTCTTTAGTTAAAAGCAATTAATTCACGTGTATACTCAAAATGATAAAAATAAAGACAAAATATTAGCATAAATCTTAGTCCTGTAATTAAAATTAACTGTGTTTATCAATAGAAGCGACCGCTCCATGCATTATTCAAGCCCTCCTGCTAGGAACCAACAGCAAAAGAGAATCTCGATAAATCTGCAAAAATTCAACAGGTAAGAAATCTCAATTTATCTTTGTTTCCAAAGAGAAAGTCAAGATGAATAAACCAGACAGGGAAGCCACTGCTGATTCTTCTCCTTGTTCCCAGAGGTCTCCCTCCAAAAATAGCATCACCACACTCTCAAAAAGTACAGAGACCCCTTTTTATATAGATAGAAAAGGCATTTTTAAGCAAGGTAAATCAGTTCAAAAAAAGGCCCCTATGGGGCCTTCCCTGGACAGACCCCTCCCCATATCCTCTGCTTTAGC